TTTTTATAACAATAAAAATACTCTTCTTACATTTTTTTGCTCTCCAAGAAAAACAGAAAATAACTACTTTTTTTCGAGTTAGAAGGTTAATATCTTATAAAACATTTAAATGATTGATTTAAAACACCAGAAATAATATGTCCCCAATCAGAAACTTTTTTTGAAATTGAGCTTTCAAGACATTAGATTTATTTCATGTTGATCAACTAGTATCTAAAGAATATGAATTCTCTGTCCTGTTACATGTCCAAATGCCAACGTACAGTACACAAGCGTCCCCAATTCCTCTCCAGAAGAGGAATGACACACGGACAAGTGAGGTTTTGCAGGAGATAAGCGAATAATTCATTGTGTGAAGCGTCATCTGCTGACCAACTACAGTAGGGGAAACCAATAAAGCAACTAGCTGGAAGGGGAACTGTGCCGTGCACCTTCAATTGAACCCGCACGTGGACGCAGAAGGTCAGAAGGAGGGGGTCATATGGTTCCATTAAATATGTAGAAGAGGCGCTCCATTGAGGTCGAGCTACAGCTCCGGCTTGCACAACTCCTCGAGGATGCAGCGAAAATGTTATGAAATCCTGCAGTCAAAACATTTTAGCGAGAACCACGAGATGAGGTAAGGACTTCGTGGTTGAAATGGAATTGCGGAAGGATGGTTCCTGAACATGAAAAATCAACGCTCTTGTTAGAAAGGCCATACCACGGAAGCAAGCTATTTCATTAGTTTTTATAAGATGTATTGAAAATAGAGGGCGCAGGAACTATGATGATTGTCCAAGTACTGCTGTCAAAACGAGCCCGTTGGTCAGGGAATGAGAACTTATACCATGCATTTCAGCAAATGTATTCCCATACTGTATACATTCTCATACCACATATCTAAAATTAAAGAAAAAACTGAAAATAAAAAATAAGAAAGTTTTATTTTGAAAAGTCATTCTTGCGTTATTTACCATTTCTGCTGTAAAATTCTCAAAGTTAAGTATGAGTATAACTATTGTTTTTCAGATCTTGAACAAATGATCCCCATCTCATTCACTTTTTCGTCCGGTTTCCCTTGATCCACTGAGCAAATGCTGAGATGTCCCATTGTTTTGCTTCTGAATATAAATGTAGGTGTACTACCTGTAGACATTTCATCAGCAGTATCGTGACATATTTGGTCTCCATGTTCTCTTAGTAGTGATTCCCTTTTATGTGAGAGCATCAAAAGAGCTAAACCCTCTAGTTTATGTGCAAATGGAAATAGTATCTATTCCACGGGAAAAGATATTTCTTCTTGCAAAGCAATTGCTGCTCCCTTTATACGTAATTTAACTCAGTGTAGTAAAATAGAGGGGTAGGGATTTCGGAGCTGAAGAATACAATATGGGATCAAAAGTATCCGCACATGTCCAAAAATGGTGTTATGGTGTGGTCGTGTTTTTCATGGAGGGGCTTGCACCCCTTGTTGTTTTGTGTGGCACTATCAAGGTACAGGCGTACGTTGATGTTTTAAACACCTTCATGCTTCCCACTGTTTAAGAGCAGGGCTGGCGATTGCATATTTCAACAGGATCGAGCACCTGTTCATACTGCACGGCGGAGTGGTTACTCGACAATAACATCCCTGCAATGGAATGGCCTGCAGAGGGTCATGGCTTGAATCCTATTGAACACCTTTGGGATATTTTGGAGCACCGAATTCGTTCCAGGCCTCATCCACCTGCATCGATACCTCTCCTCAGTGCAGCACTCCGTGAATAATGGCCTGCCATTTCAATTCTACTTATCTTTCCAATTCTTTGCCAATTGAATATTGGGTTCCGCAAGGCTCCATCTTAGGTATTATCCTCTTTCTGTTATACCTAAACGATATACCGTCGTCTATTAAAACCGGAAGAACGGTTCTTTTTTCCGATGACACGAATGTTCTTTGCAAAAAAGAAACAATAAGTAGTACAATTTTAGAAGTTTCAAATAGGTTTTGTAATAAAAAATTAATAGTCAATGAAGGAAAAACAGTTTCAATGCTTTTTGGCCTTTCAAATTAGCAATCGCATGCTCCATTTAAAAGTAATATGCAAGGTGATGATCGGGTAACAAAATTTCTAGGTCTGTCAATTCAGTCCAACCTCAAATGGAATGTACATATAACAAAATTAAACACTAAATTAAGTTCATTATGTTAGGCATTCAGAATTCTATCAACTTCTGTCAGCCTTCATGCAGGTCGTTGTGGGTATTTTGCAAATGTACATTCCCGCCTGAAATATGATATAAAATTCTGGAGAAACATATAATGTAGTACTCAGATCTTTAGATTGCAAAAGAAAATTATTCGAATAATGAAAATTTGCCATCCGCGTTACCCTTGCAAGCCTCTCTTCATTGAGCTTGCTATCTTCCCATTGTTTTGCCTATATGTTTACGAATCTGATATATTTTTCAAAAGTGACTTACTTAACGGTGGGATCATGTTTTTCATGCAATACTGATATTTATAATTACAACACACGTCGTAAAAATCACGTTCATCGAGTGTCAGTATGAACAGCTCACTATCAGAAATCCACTTACAATACGTGTACGTTACTATAAAATGCACTTCCAGATGACATACAACAGTGAAAGGCGTTTCACAAATTTAAGTTAAAAGTAAAATCTTTTCTGCTGCATAACTGTTTCTATACAATTAGAGACTCTACTGATTACCAAAAAGAAAAAAAAATATATATATATATAATGAAGTAGTTTACATTTGTATTGTATACATATTTTTAAAAGACTTATGTTTGTAATAAATAATATACTTCAGCTTCTGTGTCAATGACCCCCATCTATATCAGCTTTTTGTCTAGTTTCCCTGATCCATTGAACAAATGCTGACATGACCCCTTGTTTTGCTTCTGGACGTAAATGTAGCTTCACTATGCGCACGTTTTGTTGAACTCTTCTTTTGCTTGTAATGGTAAGAGTAGAGGTAAGGGGAGTTGCTATTTTGTTAGCAATACAGAAAAATCATACTTGCACTTCATTTACTGATGCAAATAAGTTTTCTATAACTCAGAAACAAAAATTACTATTTTTCAAATATTGCTAATATCGCGTTTTTTTAATTTCTTTTTATTTATTTATTTTAACTTTTACTCATCTTTCAACTATTTATAGTTAAAATGACGGGAAGGGATTCTGGAACTCAAGAAAACGTGCGCAGATAATCTTTGCCCCCCTACGTCACATACAGTTTTTACTGTTCTTTTACTGAATGAATATAAATCTAAATCTAAAGAAACCTTCCAGCACTTGATTGAAAGTATGCCTGCGAGAGTGAAAGCTGTCACCAGGGCCAACACCCTATTGAATTCCAGCATTACCGATGCCATTACCACGAACTGGTAAGTCATTTTCAGCCACAGTGTATGTGCACAGATTGTACGGATACCTCTCCTCAATAATGCCGACTCATTTTTAACGTTTTTTTCGAAAAAATAAATAAAATAAATAAAATAAATAAAATAAATAAAATAAATAAAATAAATAAAATAAATAAAATAAAATGAATACTTCCACTTTTCCTCTGAACCATTACTTATTCATAACACTGCTCAGCAGCAAAATTTTGTTTTTAAATAATGCACGTTTCTAAACGGAGTTTTTGCGCTGATTTTAACAGGGCAATCCATATTTTCCCATCACGCCAGGTTTTCAAGAATTGTAAGAATTTATTTTTCCTGAAAGTTCCGTTTATATACCATTGAATAGCATAGAGAGTATCTAATGTTTCTGTGTGATTACATTTTTTTTCTCATTTATGATTCACACCAGTTTGTACGCGCTCCAGACACAGAAAGAGTTTTAAGTAGTACATATGAAATGTTTACCACAGAATAGCACTAGATAAGCTGAAGAAAGGTGTTTTAACCGGACTTCAGATCAAAAAGTAAATGTGTTAACCAAATTTTGAGAATACAATAAGCCAAACATAATAACAAACCTGGCATATCTACGATGATGTAAAATACTTACTAGGAAATGTAAATGCCGATTTCAAAATCATTGTAAACAACATGTTGGAAAATTTGAGAAATCAAGGCTGTAACGAAAGTTAAAAGATACACTTGCTACGTACTCACATTTCAACAGATTCAACAAAAGTCTTGGATTTTACAGCAAGGAACTTGGTGAACGTTTGCACCAAGATTTGAAGATATTAAAAGAAGATACTGTGGTGGATGGACTGATGGCATCATGGCAGACTACTACTGGTCCCTGAAAAGATGAAATATTTCTCATGCTTAAGGAAGAAGTGCAAAAAGAAAATTCCTGCCTGTAAAAGAATATCAATTATATCTATTGTTGGTATTTCTTGTGAAATGTACGTGTATTATGTTTATAATTACATGTTTACATAGTTCTAATATACACCACTGTCTTAATGACAATGATTTTGTAGAAGAGCATAAATTAGATTTCTTTGTCGCGTTTTCTTTTAAACAGCCATATATTATACCTTTGAAAACCAAAGGGTTAATAAAATGCCATAATTTAGGTTTAGAAATTTATTTGAAATGTATTAGTTAAAACTTCTGAAGCATTACTATCTCTCGACGTTTCAAGGAGCACTTTTCCTCTTCTTCTGGAGTCTTAATAAACTATCTCATACTTTTTTAAGATTTATTTGTGATTTTAAAAAAAATATAGCATTTTGCAAAGAAGCACACCCTTAACACCATCCACGGAGTCTTATGCCATATAGAGTGAATAAATATACATATCAGTCATGGGTAATTATGAAAATTTGTTTTCATTTTTTAAGAAAACTGGACGTGATTGAGGAAAACTGATAACATATTTAAAATCAGCACTCTAAAATTAAAGGGAAGAAGCGTTCAAAACTAATACATCAATTTTATTTTCAAAACGTAGAGCAATGCAATGCTTCCCTTCTCAACACAATTCATGGTTCATGGTCACTTCTATCAAAATACACACAGTGGAAGGCAACGGGTATTTACCATTGTGATCTCTTGTCAGAAAAAGGGAGAGAGTAACGAGACAAACTTCCTTCTCCACCACCTCCTCTTCCTCCAACATTGCATACGCTGAGTAGTAAGTATAGTTCTCATCAGAAACAATAGCCAAATGTGTAGATTCCTATTGCAGACAAATAGTGATAGTATCTGGAACAAAACACCTAGATTAAATTGAGTAAAAATAGCGTGTTGAAGTACTTCATCCGTTATGCTATTAATTTTGAATGTGCCAGAGATAGAAACGCTTTTGAAAAGGGTTCCGACGTTGAAATTTGTATTACAAACATTTAATCAGACGGTGTTACCCGCTTGAAATTACTCCGAAGGAAAGACACTGAGTACTATTGACATGAAAAATCTGTCGTATTACAAGTTATTACAGGTTAACCTCATACATCCGAACAGCTAAATCACTATACCCCTAAATCACTGAAGGAAGTCGTTTATGTCCCCTCCTTGTGAATGTTCTAGAAGTGCGAATTTAATACGACATTATACGCGGGATCATTTCTTCCCCAGCTTCACTCATCGAATAGGAAATGTATATAATGCGGGGAGGGGGCAGGAACTAACCTGTTTCTTATTAGTCACAGGCAGGCTCTGGTTTTACATTGGGGAGTGCCAACCGGCTAAAAGGTATCATCCCTTCGGTGTAAACTCTTCAGGCTAAATACAGGATTACTGGTACATGCAAAGAACGAGATTGCCAGCTGACTGCCTATTGGCGCAAATTCATTTCAGCATCCTAGACCTGCAGTCAGAAATATTCAATGACAATGAGCCAAAGTTTTAGAAAATGTGAGGTAGAGGGAGGATCATCCTTTCCTTTGAGATGGAAAGTAATGTTTAACAAATTTTAAAATTCTAAAATGAGCTGAATATGACATTATATCTTACAAACTATTAGTTGAAAAAACAAATGCTAGTGACGGCGGTGGTGACAATGGCAATATCTAGTGATGGCAAACAACTTGAGATGGCAGACGTGACGATGATTGCTGTGTAGACGGCGGTATGACGGCGGTAGAAATACTTGTGAGATCAGCATGGTGATGGGTGTTTTAGTGGTGACAACAATAAGCATAAAGTGGATGTGAATACGGAACGGTGAAGTGAGTGGTGACGGCAATATTGACAATAGTGGTTTTGTAGGAGTGACCAATCTTACCTGATGACTGAAGTCATGGGTGGTGAATTGTTGTAAGAGCAACGGTGATGGCGAAAATAGTGAAGGCAATGGCGACAATGTTAACACCGATGACAGCAGTTATGGCCGTTGTGATGATATCTATTACGGCAGGGGAGACAGTGACAGTGGCGATCGTGTTCACGGCACCATGAGCAGTTTAACACAACATTTTGAAAAACGAATATTCAAAAAATTAAAGAAAACTACTTTTTTTAATTAATTTATTTGCGGCAATAGCCATTCAATCTATACATTACCTGCAATTTGTATACTTCAGTTTCTAAAAAAATTTAAATATAACATCAATACAGTATTTTTTTATAAAGCTTTGTACTAAGAGGTACTCCTTTTCTATTGTAGAAAGTTTTGAATTTAAATTCGGAGAGAAGGTTTAAAATATATATCATAAGTTCGTTAATTTTTACCATTATGAAGTAAATTCATAAATATGTACATCATATTCAAGCATATTTGTCTTTGTTTTAAAGTGTTTCATCGGGTGCAGTTTCAAGGGAAGAACATTAAAACCATGGTTCACGAATTACCTCTCTAGAACCAGAGGAGGATCCACCCGGTCATTGGGGGCGGGGGTGCTTAACATATTTTTGTTAAATAAGAAGCATATTTTTATATTGCAAACACACACACACACAC